GGGCTATAGCCAGACAAGCTGAACTAGTAGGCCAATGCTGCTGCTGCTGCTGCTGCTGCTGCTGCTGCTGGTGCTGCTGCTGGTGCTGTTGCTGCTGCTGCTGCTGGGGATGATGGGGATGCTGGGGATGATGGGGATGCTGGGAGATGCTGAGTCTGGTTTAGTTGCTGTTGCTGCTGTTGCTGCTGTTGCTGCTGCTGCTGCTGCTGCTGCTGCTGCTTTGGGGAGTGGGAGGGATTTGTAGCAGTTCTTTTAGCTGCTTTGCTGCAGCTGTTTTTGCTGCTGCTGCTGCTTTTCTTGATGCTCCTGCTGCTGCACTTTTTGCTGCTGCTGCTGCGTTTCTTGCTGCTGCTGCTGCTGCTGCTGCTGCTGCTGTGGATTCTCTTTTTCTGTGGTTTTGCGTGTTTGGTGCTGCAGGCGCAGCAGCGCCTCGATGAGAAGCGGCTGAAGGAGGAGGAGCAGCAGCGGGTGCAGCAGCAGCAGCAGCTGCTGCGGCAGCAGAGGCAGCAGCAGCAGGAAGAATACTACGCAGCCTTGAAGGCAGAACGCCGGGCCCTGAGGAAGCAAGGCCATGTCTTTGCTGACAGCAGCAGCAGCAGCAGCAGCAGCAGCTGTTCCTCCTCTGAATCCGAGGCGGAGACGCAGACAAAACAGCAGCAGCAACAGCAACAGCAGCAGCAGCAGCAGCAGCAGCAGCAGCAAGAAGGAAGAAAACGGACAGATGATGAAGCATTCGAGGCATGGTATGAGAGCTGCAGCCAGGGGCCCCCTGGGGGCCCTATCCGTTTGGGTTCTTTAGGTACAACGAACTTTGCTGCAGCAGCAGCAGCAGCAGCAGCTGCTGCTGCTGCTGCATCCTCGGACTCAGCACAGCAGCAGCAGCAAAAGCGCAGCAGCAAGAGCAGCAGCAGCAGCAGCAGCAGCAAAGTGAAAGTAATATATATATGTGAAATATGTGAAAAAGAATTCCGCAGCTCGCAGCAATATGAAGCACACGCAAAGTCAACAAAACACAAAAAAAATTTAAAGAGACTGGCAGAGCAGCTCGAGCAAGACCTAGAGGGAATAGATGCTGAAGAATATATACCAGACACGCAGCAGCAGCAGCAGCAGCAGCAGCAGCAGGAGGGGGAGGGGGAGGAGGGGGAGGAGGAGGTGCTGCAGCAGGAGAGGCAGCAGGTGGACGCAACAGACAGCGATGAACCATCAAAGGAGAAGCAGCAGCAGCAGCAGCAGCAGCAGCAAGAGCT